ATTATATTTACTCCAGCTTCCCATATTTCACTTTAATTTTATTGAGCATGGACTACACGTTTTATAAAGCAGGAAACTACTTTTTAATGAATCCCATTCTTTTTCTTGAACTTGAATTTAAAATGGATTGCCAATCAGTTGTTGAATTTCTCATTTGTTAATCCCTTTATAGGAATTAAGACAAATATTGCCAAAGAAAATAATTATAGGTATGGTGAATATTTGCTAGGAGTGAGATGCTAATATTGGATTATTTTTCCCTTGGAACTCAAGTCTTCTTTTTCCTAAACTTTACATTATTATGAGTATTTATATTGCATTTAATATATTCTGAGCACCTTTTTTCCTATTGTTGAGATGTGTTATTTATTTTATTTATTTAGAGCATGTCATGTCATATATGGACTTGCAATATATATTAACATTTCACCTAGTTTGGCATATACAATTCCACAAACAACATGTGTTGTCAAAATAGTTGGTATTTTTCTGTTGGTGGAAGGAGGTGCCAGCTTGTACAAGCACTTTTTGAAATAATGACACAGATTGTTTCACAGTTCCCACAGCCTTGTGTAACTCTGACACTTGTGGCCTTAGAGTATTCAGTCCACACACAAGGGAGGTTGTCTAATTGTTAATAAGCATGAAAGAAAGGTCAAGTGCTAATATAGCAGTGTCTGTAGAACTCTAAATAATTGTAACAGTCAGAAGTGCACAATGGGTATGCTTTTCCCCTCCTTTTTGGGAGGATGAGGTAATGTTAGTATCTTTTCCTTCCCTCACAGATGTTTTTATTTGGTTAATGTTCATCTGATCGCATGAAAAATATGTATAAAGCTCTATCTGGATGCATGCAGTGTCATAATAAAAGCCACATGGTTTCATTTATTATTTTTGGGTACGCATAAGATATTACCAGAGTTTCTAGCCCACATTATTTTTATCTTTGGAAATCCATAGGTAAAATAAAAAGGGAAGAAAGAGTAGCGAAAGTAATTGGATTCCTCCGTTGTCCCGTTCCTTCATTTTGTGGCCTATTTATTCACTTTTATGTATTAGATTTTTATCCCATCTTTATTACTTGATATGTAATGCAAAACAGCAAGCACATCTAATACTCCTTTGTCCTCACAACAACCTGTGAAGTAAATTGGGCTGAAAGAGAGTGAAAGTACTAGATTAAAGCCATTTAATCATAGGCAATTTTGGTGTTATTACTCTGCTTTGGGGTTGCAGCATCTGTCTAAAGAGGGGGGGGGACAATGACCCTTTTATGTCTTTTGGACTTCAACTCCCAGAATTCCTGAGCCAACAGGTCTGACTGAGGAATTCTGGTAGTTGAAGTCCACAAGTCATAAATGGGTCATTGTTCCCCACCTCTGGTTTAAAGTAACATCAAGGAGTCTTTGTGTCAGAACTCTAGATCCGTGATGGCGAACCTATGGCACGCGTGCCACAGGTGGCACGTGGAGCCATGTTGCCTGGCACACCAGCTCAGCTCCGTCAGCTGATTTTGGGCCCACCAGAAGAGGGCCTGGGGGGGGGGAAGGCCCGTTTTTCTTTCTCCCTGGCTCCAGATCCTCTCTCTGCATCTGGGGAGGGTGAAAACAGCCTTCCCCACCCCCTCGGAGGCCCGAAACGGCCCGTTTCTCAACTTCCGACCTCCGAGGGGATGGGGAAGGCTGTTTTTGCCCTCCCCAGATGCATAGAGAGGAACTGGAGCCAGGTGAGAAAGAAAAACGGGCCTACCGGGCCATCACGTGCCAGGAGTGGGGGGGAAGGGGGGTTGCACTCGCATTCGTGTGGCGGGGCACATAGAATTATGGGTGTGGGCACACACACATGCAAACCTCCCCCACCCACCCCCCTTCCTGGCACGCGATGGCAAAAAGGTTAGTCATCACTGCTCTAGATGATCAATATTTGATGGCCAGTATTTTAACAGTGGTAGAAAACAGATCTACATACATCCTTTCTCAACTGATTTTTTTTTAAATGTCAACATCTCATTTCACATGAATTGAACATTCTGTTAGGGATCTAACGCTAATTTTGCATTCAAGTCCTTTTAGTCTCCATAAAACTGAACACACCAGTGAGCTTCAATTGCATTGGACTTTTGAACTAATAAGTAACTTATTTTCCTGAACTTAAAACAGATTCTCCAATTTTGCTAGGATCTGTTGTTGGCATTTTGCTGCTCTCTTCCTTGGAGACTAGGCTAAATAATGATATTATGATTAATAGGAGGGGAGAAACAAGACAACATCTTGAGGTGAGAATCAAAATCAACAAACTTATTACTTAATTGCTGGTATAACTGACCCCCCAGGTACATGCATTTCTTGCTTAACTGTGTTACCACATACTATATCTTTTCTAATGCTAAATATGTATAAGGCACTTTATGTACTAACACAGCCCAAGAGGAAGTCTGTATGTGTAAGCTAAAGTGTATAGATCTAGTTGATTGCAGTACATCTAGAATTTGGGTTGCAGTAGCATCAATTTCCTATTAAATTCTATAAATTATAAGGGGCAAATTTATAGAAAATGGCAGGATCTCGGTTTATACAGAGAAAAGAGGAAGAAAAAATAGTGATATTTACAAAACAGAATTGTCTCTCTTTTTTTAAAAAAAATACTATCATATTAGAAAGAGGCTTGGAATGATCTCAGAATCCCATGAAAGTCAAATGATTTGTGTATGTGTGAGTGTGTGCATACTTTTCATTCAGTTTCCTTAAATGGAAAGGGAGAGGAAAAACATACTTTTTCTCATTTACTAATTGTCATCTGCCATTTTCACAGTTCTGTCTTCAATTACCGTATATTCCTTGTGGTTGGTGAACTATACATTTTGATGAGTCAGCAGATTTATATATCCTAAGGGACAGCAAAAAATGTCAGAACGATGTCTCCAGAATTATGCATTAAAATGTGGTTGCTATTATTATTAAACTGTCCTTTTTGACCGTCCTTCTCTTTCCAAGAAAATACAATAAGGAATACCATGCAAAGTAAACAACCAATCGATTTAAACCACAATTAACATAATATTTCAATGAAGCAAATCTGTAAGTTATACATAATGACAATATAAAACAATAGCTACACACAAAACTATCTTGGTGTCCTTTCTGAAACCAAACCACAGATCAGGCATAATTTGATAAATAATAATAAAGTGCCACAAGTGAAATTACTAAGTCATAGTAAGTGAATCACCAAGAATGTGATGATGTCAGAGTATTTCCTTGCATTACCACTTGTTTCTCAATCTTCATATTGAAGTGTTTCCATGGTACAGTTTAAAAGTTGCTGGGTATTTATTTTTCCCTTCTTACATTGTTCTCCAGGAGGGAAATACCCAAAGTTTCAAAACATGATTGGAAACTATTGAAGTGAAAAACTGTTCTTCCTCCCTTTAAAGGGGAACCGTTCTTCCTCCCTTTAAAAAAATGTTTCAACAAAGCATATGTCAGCGTTCCGAGTAATGCATCAGCCAAAAGCAGAACTCCGAGGCAGTCACATTCCTCAAAGAACATGTTTATTGGATACATCATATTGGCACAGCTAGTGAAAACCAACTCTAAAAGATCCCGTGGTTTTCCCCTAATTAAAAGAGCAAATATTTCCCTCCCCAGATGGTCACCGGTCACACTGTCCAATGAAAGTAGCTGGGAGGCTGCTTGGTCACTCCTCTCCTCCTTCATGTGTCATCTGTTGGGATGACCTTGGTTCCCACAAGAAAACTTTTTGTTTTGACTGGTAGCCGGCCCCCTCCCTTCCCCCTTCCAAAGTTCATGGCAACTATGAAATCAGAAAAGATGGCTTCAGTCAGGCTCGCTTCAGAGTTGACAGCATAAGTGAAGACTGATTTGGACGGATCTCTTATTAAAGTTTTAAGCTATCCAATTCCAAAATGAATTGAGAAAGCTTGAACCAACAAAAAATAATGCAGGTATTCCTTGACTTACCATCACAATTGTGCCCAAAATTTATGTTGCTGAGCGTGACAGTTGTTAAGTGAGTTTTGCCCGATTTTACAGCCTTTTTTGCCACACTTAAGCAAATCACTGCATTTGTTAAGCGAATCATGCGGTCATTGAGCGAATCTGGCTTACTTCATTAACTTTGCTAGTCAGATGCTGGCTGGAAAGATTAGAAATGGTGATCACATGACCCTGGGACAGTGCAACTGTTGCAAATACTTGCCAAGCGCCCACATTTTGATCACGTGACCATGGGGATGCTTCAACCGTCGTAAGTTTGAAAACTGGTCCTACTCCTAAGTCACTTTTTTCAGGGTCCGTGTAACTTCGAACAAATGTTTGTAAGTCAAGGACTACCTGTAACCGTAGATAGAACAAGAACAAGAACCATCAAAGAGAACAGCAAAGAGTTTGTCACCCTTTCAAGAATTATTGGAGGAGCAGATGGGGCTGAAATAGATAAAGCTGTCTCTTCTTTTTTCACCTTTCTTTTCATGCTTCAATGCGAGAAACCACTGAGAACGGGAGTCCATTTCCTCAGGCATTTTGCCATGTTCCTTTTTAAACTCCCCAACTTTCTCTTTCAGAAATTAAGATTAGTAGTAACTGGATGCTGAATGTTTTAACTACTCTACTAACTGAAGATGGAATGGAGTAAAAATGTGTCTCTTGTGAAATTTTCAAAGTGCTTATATTTGCATCAGTGGGAATGTGTTTCTCATGTGGAAAATTAAACATAGGAGCCATTTTCTTACCAACTTAGCAATAAATGGTATTATCGCTTAACAATATATTGTAAATTCCTATAAAACTGTATATTTTGATATATGCAAAACAACTTTATTGATAAATAAAATTGTGATTTGTTTAGAACTTTACAATCATGAGTTAATTAATAGCACTTAACTACTTTGGCCTTCAAATAAAGCAAATTCTAATGAATTGTCAGGAGTCATTTTTAGCACTGACCTGTAGTTGTTATTTTTTTCTTCTTTGAATTTTTAGGAATATGACATTATCTAAGAAAACGTCAAACCAGGACACCTAGCAGATTAAGGATTTCTGTTGGAGAAATCTTTTTCCCCGCCTCTGGAAATACATATATAAGAATACCATTGTTCTAGTGCCTCGCTGTTGTTGGAATTTGGCAATTGGAAGACATGTCCATTGCACTCAAGCAAGTTTTTAATAAGGACAAGACGTTCCGTCCCAAACGGAAATTTGAACCTGGGACCCAGAGGTTTGAGCTTCACAAACGAGCACAAGCCTCACTCAATTCTGGAGTGGACCTGAAGGCAGCTGTGCAGTTGCCCACTGGAGAAGATCTAAACGATTGGGTCGCTGTTCACGTAGTTGACTTTTTCAATAGGATCAACCTGATTTATGGAACTATCTGTGAGTTTTGCACAGATAGAACCTGTCCTATGATGTCAGGTGGGCCTAAGTATGAATACCGGTGGCAGGATGATCTGAAGTACAAGAAACCTACAGCATTACCAGCACCCCAGTATATGAATCTTTTGATGGACTGGATTGAGGTGCAGATCAACAATGAGGACATATTTCCAACTAGTGTAGGTAAGTTTATCCATGTCTAAGAATCGTACCCTTTCAATAGTTTTCTCCTAAAATCTGTTGATGGTATTTTAAAAATGGAAACATTAACAATAGAAATTCCAGTACTTTTTATTAAAGATTCCATTTTTGTCCGTTGTATAGCATATATCAGTAATGGCAAACCATTAAGACACCAAGTGCCCAGACTGTGCGCGTGTATGCCCAAACTGGCTGGTGCACGTGTACGTGAACATGTGTGCATGCACGCATGCACGAACATGCATGTGGACATGCATGGATATGTGCAGCAGAGGCCCAAAGACCAGCTGGCTGGCGGGAGGCGGAACATCCCACCACGGCAGTGTGGCAAGAGGTAAGATCTTTTTCTTTCATGAGCTTCTGTTTCGTTGTTTGCAGGGAAACAGAAGCTCATGAAAGAAACGCCACAGAGATCTGACGGCGCACGTGCCAGCAGAGAGAGCTGTGCGTGCCATCTCTGGCACGTATGCCATAGGTTCACCATCACGGGCATATATGAACAAATGAATTGCAAAGAGAGATTGGTTTGTATTTGTTGCAGAGGAAGAGTTCCAGAGTAGCAAAAAAGGGAAGTAATTAAGTCACCAGTTCTGTCATCAGGACTTGGCCCTTCCATTCTGTCATGTAAAATGGGTATTGAATGTATGTAGTTGAATTTCAGCTTATTCCTGTTATATATATATTTCTTTATTTCTTCAATTCAGTGACAGAGCAACTGACAGAGCTCAAATATAAAAACAGAATACAAATACAATAATGTAAATAAAGTATACAAGGAAAATAACAAATCAGCAATCCAGAGAACATCATTACATATAGAACATATATATATATATATATATCAAACACCTCTAAAATCTACCCTATACTATCAAGTTGGGAGGGGCTGTGCAAATTTTACGTGAAACTCATTCCAGAAGGCAGGCACCGTGACAGAAACATATTGTTGATTTAACATATGTTGATTTATAATGAGACCTGAGAACAATATGGTTTTTCTACATTCTGCTATTTTATTTAGGACCAAATCCAATGGCAACACAGCTGCCATTTTAAAAAGATCCAGATGGTAGGATTGTACATTTTAGAATGTTATTTATAGTATTATCTGTGGGGCCAGTAATTTTGTTGTTATGTTCTGGCAGTATCTTTGTGGTGGTTGGTTTGTCGGCTTCCTCTTCCAGCAATACAGGTAGTCCTCAACTTCAAACAGTTCGTTTAGTGACCGTTCAAAGTTACAACCTTTGCAGCATCCTCATGATCATGTGATCAAAATTCAGATGCTTGGCAAATGACTCATATTTATGATCACTGCTGTGTCCCAAAGTCACGTGATCACCTTTTGTGACCTTCTGACAAGCAAAGTCAATGGGGAAACCAGATTCACTTAGCAGCTGGGTTACTAACTTATCAACTGCAATGTTTCATTTAACAACTGCAGCAAGAAAGGTCGCAAAATGGGGCAAAATTCATTTAACAAATGTGTCACTTAGCAATGGAAATTCTGGGTTCAATTGTAGGCATAAGTCAAGGACTACCTATAGTTTTTTGGCATGCATCTTCTCTTACTCTTTGTTTGAGAATAGAAATTAAGCGAAGAAAAACAAATTAATGCACCTATCTCTGCCAGTTACTCCTTCCTGGAATTTATACTTTTTTATCTGAGTAATTGCAACAGTTGTGGAGGGACTTCCTTTATTCCTATGTTGATCCAATCAGAAACATGAAATATGAATGGATGGATGGAAGGATGGGTGTTTTTTATCAGGGCAACCTGGTCTACCCAAATATGGGATGGAGCATACTGCTTCCACTTTTGCCTTTCAGCCCCAATGCATATAAAAAAATAAAAATAAATTTAGTACAGTTCAAAGCAACACATCTAATGCGCATGCCTCCTTTTTTCCTCATGATAACTATCCTCTGTGGTGCGTTGGACTACAAAAGAGTGATTGTCCCAAAGTCACTCAACCATGTTCTGGGGCTCAAGGGAGGGGTAGATCTCCTGCTTTCCACTATACCAGTGATGGCTAACCTTTTTGCCATCGTGTGCCAAAAGCTGGGGGAGTGTGGGATGGTCGCGCGTGTGTGTGCCCACACCCATAATTTATGCACCCTGCCCCCCCATGCATGCGTGTGCGACCCTCCCCCATGCTCTCCCCACTTTTGGCATGTGATGGCATGATGGGCCCGGTAGGCCTGTTTTTTGCCCTCCCCACGCTTCAGAGGCTTTGTAGGAGCCTGGGGAGGGCAAAAACAGCCTTCCCCACCTCCCTGGAGGCCCTCAGGAGGCCGGAAACAGCCTATTTGCTAACTTCCGTTGGGCCCAGAAGGCCCAAAAATCAGCTGGCCAGCGTGCGCATGCGCGCTGGAGCTGAGCTATGGCAACGCTTGTGTGCCCACCAATATGGCTCCGTGTGCCCCCTGTGGCACGCGTGCCATAGGTTCGCCATCACGGCACTATACAAACATGCCCTAAATTTATGTTTATTGTAATTTTTTATTATATACGTTGCAAAAGGGTCATAGTGAAGAAGTATCCTATATTTTTAAAGAGTTCTCCAATTATTAGCAGTAGGATGGCTCATACGAAGTCATGGCAAAACCTTTCAGTGCTGATTTTCTACCAGTTATTAGTTGGAATTCAATGATGTTGCATTCTTAATAATGTCCCACCTGTGTTGGATTGGGGAAAATCTCCCCAACCACTCAGAATACTCAAAAAGAGTCCCTCCAAAGATCTGGGCTGTCCAAAAGTATATAAGCTTTAGAGAAAGAGGAGAGATATGGACAAAACTTCCTTCTGCTCCCTGAGCTTGATTATCTCAGATATTTCATTATCCAAACTAAATAACATCATCAGTGCTAGTATTGAGTAGGATTCGCTCTCATTTTGCTCCCTACCAGCACTGATGATGTTGCCTAGTTTGGGTAACAAAGTCTGCAAGAAAATAACCAAGCTCAGAGAGCACCAAGGACCCCCTCATTCCAACCCTGAGTTACAAATATTCTATCAGAATAAAACTCTGGTTAGATTAAGCCTAGCTCATGGCATGTGGCAAAAAAGGATGGTGGCAACATCAATCATTTCTTCTGTTTTTGTGGTGATGGCAGTGATGGTTTTAGGAAAATACATTTGCTTCTGTGAAGACAAAGAGCAGTTCCTTGGACAGCCCACACTTTATCCATCAGACTGTACCTCACAGATGGTTTATATTGCTGGATTTAGGCCTCTATTAGAAGTGAGTCTTAGTTTACACTGCTGTCTAAACTGCTTTATACTGCTTAAATGTTATTTCTAATGGTTATTTGCAGAATTTGTATGTTTTCTGGGTTAATCCTTGTAAATCGTCCTTTAATTTTATGTGCATCCATATAGAGTATTTAGGGAAGGATTTCAAGAAATGCAATTAAGTAGGCCGTTTGTTTAAGAACTAGTTCTTAAAGAGGAAGCAAGTAATTTCTGGAAGAACATGAATGCTTTGAGATAAGCAATTTCCCTTTCACATTTTCTCTTATTTTCCCCTCTCAAGCAACACTGAGATTGATTGTAATACATTACTAGTAGGAACAAGAGGAATGAATGTTGTACTGGTAATTTATACTAAAACCACATTTTGGGGGAGTTATTTTTCCAAAAGAAAACTCAAAACCTCTGTGTGTGGTAGGTTAGAAGATTTCTGTTTTGAATTCTTTGAATTCAAAGATTTGAATTTTGAGTTCCTTGGATTATACAGGAAATATTTGTGACAATATGTGTGATAATCAGTAGCTGAATTGCAGGGGCAGATGTTAAATCCTCAGCCCACTTCTTGATATTTGGAGAAAGTTTTTGAATGTCGCCATTCAGTCAAAACATTTTCAGAATTCAAATTTGCTATAGAAATTTTTTCCAACATAGACAAGTTTGGCAGTTTCAAAGTTATAGGATGGTTGCAGGGAATTCATGGTCTTCTTTCCTACTCTAAATCAGTAGCTAAAAGAACGGAGAAAAAAAAGTAGTGGGAGAAGCTGCAGACAGATAAGAATGACAAGTGTCTCTTGTTTCTTGTACACCAATGAATGATGATGCTACACAGATGACTTCCTGTTGGGATCAAACAAGAAGGACCCAGAAACAGTTTTGAATAGTATAGAGTAGGGGTGTAAAACTCGGTTTCATTGAGGGCCGCATCAGGCCCTTGTGTTCAGGGGGCTGGGGGGCGTGGCCAGGGTGGGCATGGCCAGCTCAACGTCTGTTTTTAGCTGTGACAGCCTCCTGCAGCCCTCTGTCAGCAAAAACGGAGTTTGGGAGGGCCACACGTCCCCCCCTCCCCCGGTTAACTCAGTTTTCGCTGGCAGAAGCACTGTGGGCAGGTTCTTTGCTGTTTCTAGGGTGTCCTCGCAGACCAGATCTAAGCACCTGTGGCCTTGAGTTTGACACCTCGTGTAGAGTAAACTGTGCAATCCGGTCATCCCATTAGTCATCTCTGTTGGCCTGCTAGACCCTTCTCATGTGAGTCCCAATATTTAATCTAAGCAAAAACTAGTCAAAACAATAACGTATCGTTACAGTACATCAGATTACATATATTAGATCTAAAAATAATGTGGCTATTATAATATAATAATGAAACAGTTACTGAAGCCAAGAAGAAAATTGTCCAATGGAGTATTGTAGGCAGGAGTATGCCAACAATATTACAAACATGAAGACGCATTTAATGTAGTGGAAAAAAAATATCCAGAAAGAATGTTTTACAGAATGCTAATAGGAGAACATAGTGATGAAGCTATCATCTGAGAGAAGCCTATTCAGGAATCGCCTTGTTTTTAAGCTTCCAACAAAATATTTTATCTGCCTAGCAAAGCATCTAGTTTCTTTGAATGTATTGTTCATGCATCATTAATTGTGTATATCATTTTAAACAGCCTCTCGTTCTGGTGAGAGATGTTTAAGTTAATCTCAAGCTTTTCAGAGTGGGCCATGATAAAGAAAGCTG